ACTGCATACATCAGAGAATTTGAGTTATTGCAGAAAATATTTTCCTTTGTTTATTCATAGAGACTTTGAATTTGAAAGGATTTTTCCTTATACTGAACAAATGCTGTCCACAAAGTTTCGTATAATGTAGATGGTGAGCAACTATAGTGGTTGTGCAGAAATTATATTGATAAAAGATGGAAGGACATCTTAGTATTACATGCTGTACCTTATGGGGGAAGTGTACACAGAAAGGAATGAGACTAAGATAATCCAGTTAAGCAATCCAAACCTGGGACAATGTCTCACAGGTTTTCTATCATTACATATTTTTTCAAATACTGAATTCATTAACACAGAAGCATCAGAGGGAACAGAAATTATTACCAATAATACAAGGATTATGACAAAAATAGATTTGTATTTGTGAAACAAGTATACCTTCACTGTAGACCTTTAACCCTAAATCTAAAGTCACAAGAATTTAATAATATAAAAAAATAGGAAAAATAGTTGCAATAGCATCAGCATTTAATCAGGTCATCTACATTATGAATACAGATATGTATATCAAATTTTATTTAACTCAAATGGTTTTTACTCAACTGTGCCAAGAAGGATTTTGTCCAAAGGATCCAAAAACTTTACAAATGTGAAAAATAACTTTCACTTGTCTACCTCTAGTGATGTTTGCTCAACTGTGCTAAGAAGTACAAGTCAATGAAGTTTCTAAAATATGCATAATGTAGAAAAACTACTTGAAAATCTAACATACAAATATTCTTACAAAATGCATCTACCTTAAATGGCTTTGCTTAATCATGCTATAATTGTTGTTGTTGTGTTCTGGGTTTAATGTCATTTCTCAGAGCAAGACAGGCTATACAAGGCAGCCAGGATAACTGGTGGAAGAAAAACCTGGGAAAACCCTGGAAAGAACCACAAACCCATGGGAAGCTACTAGAAAGCTTTCTAACATAACCACATCAGCTGAGCCCAAGACTCGAATCCATGTGGACAGGTGAGATGACAATGATCGTTAAAGATGAGAGCATTAGATAACTTTGTCACCCAGGGTTCAAAATCATGCAATTAAAGTTTTTGCCAAAAGCATTTAGGACTTTTTGTTGCAAAAAGTAATACATGTATTACAAAATCCTGAAAACCTGCTGCAATGGCATACAAATCGAATTATGTCTTATCTTTATGACCAAAATTGCTTTCAACTGTTACCATTTTTGTGTCATCATGCAGAAATGAATTCAGGATGTACAGAACATATGACCTTGGGAACATTATGGTTGTAATGTATTCAAAACAATATACCCATTTTAGCTATCATAGTTGAAGCACATGAATCATGACTGGTGGGAGGGGAAGCATTTTATGGGGTCAGCAAAACAAAATAATTTGTTTAATTTGTAAGGCATATTTAAATTTTGATCATGATCTGCCATTATACCAAGCAATCGTAAACACCCATAAGAAAGGATACCACTACTTTTAGTCGACATCCAAGTTCCAACAATGATAGACAAATATATTTCTAAATGCAAAGGTAAAATTGATTCTTGTATGTTAAATATACCTCTTAATGCAAAGGTCATCCTCACAAAGGATCAAAGGATTCGGAAGAATATTTCAGAGGAAAAATTAGAGCCACTTAAACTGTACTGCCTCTGAAAAAAAATTGTTCTTAAAGGGATACTACTACTCCACTGCTACTAGTTTAGATTTCCAAATATTTTTTTTATGTAATCCCAAATTATTGCATCACTTGCATACTTACAGTGAAACATTGGTATCATTTTTATAGCAGACATAGTGTCATCACTGCCACTGTTACAATTTTGTTAATTGTTTTGCAAGCCAGATAGATGGCAATGCACACACACACACACACTGGTAAGATATCAGGTTACAAAGAATACTTGCTTTAATTTCCAAAATATTTTCGGGCCCAGATGAAGACATAAATTTTTTGCCAAAGTTTTCAAATTATTTTGCTTTAAAGAGCTGTCTGATTCATGCAAACATCTGATGAAACTATTCCAACACGAATTCTCAAACCTTCAGGCACTAACATTCCACCCTCTTTTTTCATGGCCACAGGACCACTCTTGCCACCAGCAGGAACCATTCCTCTACTTCCTCTTGGAACAACTGCTTTACTGTCTGAGGTTTTAGTGGATGTTCCCTGCAACAGGTAAGAAGTTATTCATGTATTGAAAATAACCAGAAGCAATGGAATTGATACTGGGAATATGTATAAGTGAAGAATTCAAAATAACAGGTAGCATGTGATGTCTATTTTTTTTTAAAGTATATGTAGACAAAATGCTGTAAAAAAAGACACTTTTAAAAGTATGCTGACAAAAAAACAACAAAAGCATTAAGCAATAGTTGCAGTTTTGTTTTATCTTGTTAAACAGCACAATTATGGCAAGAATGTTGTAATTGTAGAAATTTTTCATTTGGTACCATACCATACATACTCATGAATAAAACAGGTCCAGCTACATAGATGTTGACCTGCTGTTACATAATACACTGGCAAATAAGGGTCTAATGTTGTTTGTTCAACTGATAACTGTATGTTGATTGAGAGAAATAGTGTGCATGGGCCTGAATTCTACAAAACTGGAGTACATCTGAAGTTGTTTAACAAGAGTATACTACGAATTCTCCTTTGAGATGTTCCAGGAACCTAAATATATTGAAAACAAGGGGGTGGGTTTCTCATTGGACAAGACTTTCTTTAATATAAATTAACTAACATATTGTAGAATTTTGAGATATGCTTAATAACAAACATAGGTCTATTAACAGAGAGTTATGGTAAATTAAGTGATTAACGTCAAAGAATTATATGGTTAAGTTTGAAATGTTAACAATCAAACATTCTAAATTCATTCTCATTTTTTCAAATTAAAAAAACCTGCATACAGACACAGAAACAGATGATTCCTACCTTTTATTCTCATTTGTGACATGGTCAAATACAGCCATATTTATTTTTCTGAGTATCAAATTTTCATGGTTTTGCAAAAGAAATTATTATTTTAGCTGAAGACTTAAATTTGTGGATTGAGAAATAATTCTATTGTTTCCACAGAATAGTCAAAATTTATTGGGTCTTCATATTTGTTATATTCAACAACCATTAAATTAACAAAGATTAGTATCCTTTGAAAAATAAGGGTTCTTATAACTTTTCACAGGAAACTGGAATTTTAAAAATGCTATAACTATAACATATTTATTTACTTCTCTATCTCAATGACACTGGACATACATCTTTGTTCAATAACTAAATGACAAGTTAGTCAGTCTTTTATTAATTTGGGTGGAAAGAAATTTTGAACAGTCATCTGCTTTTTATCAATCTTAGATGTTTTGTTGATATATTTTTCAATAACATATAGATGTTCATAAAAAAAAACATAAGGTGTATTATACTGAGCTTGTAGGTACAGTCTAATATTCACTAGGTTAACTATTCTTTGTCACTTCTTTCTCCATCCAGCAAATTTTCAGCCATTTTCACAATGATCTGAATTCAAAATGAACATGAGAGAGATCTACTTGGAGCTGTACTTAATTGATCAACATTTATCTACAGAATTATTGATAAGTGATATTTCTGAATTATTTAGTAAAGGAAAAGTACAAAATAAAAACATTTCTTTTCATGCTTTAAATGCACTGAACCAGCAACCATTATTCTAAAGTATTGATTTATCGTGACTTTGTTATTTGGAGTTTTTATTATACCTGTGTGATTTACCAATTATGAATGACATGATTATCATGCTTTTAGTGCTCAGCACCTTTGTATTTATGTCTGTTATTTCAAAAACAGACATTGTTTTCTTGTTTCAGTGCTTCAGATAATAAAAACATTATAATTTTGAGCTCATTTTTTCAGGTAGACCACACAGATCAAATGCTATTACCAATTAAGTGTTGTAACAAAGGAATATTATTACAAAGCCTTCGGAACACATAATGATTAGGAATTTGGCCAGGGAAATCAAACTCAAATGTTCTATCAGAGAAGATGCTACAGCTAAGATGATAATAAACAATTTTTACTGTTATGAATTTAGTTTTCTATTTTTAAAGAATCCAGAATGCTGTGTATGTACGAAATTGTTAAAAAATAAAAGAATATTTTAAGATATATGGTGCAAATACCTGTTTGGGTTTTGTCCCTGCAGGTGTTGTTTTCTCTTGTTTCCCACTCATAGTTTTTGGTGCAGATTAAAGCTACTGAATTGAACCTGCAAAAAAAAATCATGAAAGTCAGAAATGTTGCACCATGAGACAGTGTACAGAAGAAACATGTGCCGAAAACAAAGTTTTAGGCAATGAAAAAGCACATATCAGTATTCATCATCAGAAAGTTAGAATGTCATCCCTGTAGCTATATCCTCTCATTTACATGACAGTAAACAAATTCTGGACAGAGCATTTCAATATGAACTTGAAAATAAACTGCATATAAAATGTTGTTTTTTTTTAATTGTAAAGCTCCCATTACTTGTTTTGCTACCATATTTTAATTACACGGATGGAGATCATGATTGTTTGCATTTTACTAGGTGTTTAGAAAGGGTCACTTCTTACACAAGTTATTTAATCATCAGTGCTTAATTTGACCCTTGGGATAGTCAGTCACAAAACATTTATTGGAAGCTCCTATTAATTGCATATGACACAAATTAAGATACAGTATTTAGGTTTTCAGTTAATGTATGGCACATTGTATCATATGTCCAACTTCTTCTGGACATTCTTACTTGCACAACTGGATGACCTAAGGACTTTCCTTATTCCTACATAAAGTCCAAAAAATACACCAATCATTCCAGTGTTCCAAGATGCAATATTTCTCTTCTGTCGCAGTCAATTAATAGTGCCTATTAACCGATTTGCAATAAATCACAAAGAAATAACATTGCAAACTTGTAAGTGAACTCTGATCTAGTCATCATTACCAGGTCATTCTGGACCTCTCTGGTGGCCCAAGTGGTTTGAGCATCTGCCTTGGATGTTGGAGGTCATGGGTTCGAACCCTGGCAAAATCATACCTAAGACTTTAAAAAACAGTACTAGCAGCTGTCCCGTTTGGTGCTCAACATTAAGAGGTTAGTGTTAGGACTGGTCGGCCTGGTGTCAGGAATAATGTGACTGGGTGGGACATGATGCTATATGTATGCGGCACAATACACCAGTGCTAGACATCACTATAAACTGTCACACTGCAAACATCATAGCGATTATACTGAAACATTATTTGATCTATGTTAAAATTCCAAACCACACACACCAGGTTATCATGTGTGGAGCAGGCATAATTGAATCAATGTATTAGTAACTTTGGCATCACTTAGCAAATTGTCCATAAAAAATCACATTTATTTCTAGTCAGCTTTCAAAATGATCACTGTCAGTGTCTTACTAAAAGTACATGTGTACTAAACCTTAGCATTCAAGTAACAAGATGCAGCCACTGAGTGCTGATAACTAAAGATTTTGCAATATTAAGGGAAGGTAGATTGCAAAGGGTACATATATTAGTTACCTTCAGCTTGGACTGCTGAATGCCCTATATACCATGCAAGACAACCTCATCTACTTCAAACAGAAAGAATACCTGAAATGTAAATGGCTGTGTTAGTGGTGGTGAGAAATAGACCTTGGGAAGATGTTTTGAAATAGAATGTATTGATAACAATAATGATGGCAGCATTATGGAAGAATCCATTACTAAAGAACTTTTTGCTATTTTGTTCATTTTCTTCAATTAGAATATTGATCAACCATAAAATGCTCAAAGTCTTATTAAAGCACATTATATCTATATCCAATCCATGTTTTTCAATCAAGTGCTGTTCTATTATGATCATCACAGGAAAATGGTACCAACATCTCTAAAAACTTTAAATAAATTAAAATAAAGTGTAAATGCTATCTTCCATAGATAATAAATGATTCATTATAGTGATCGTAATGATGTATACTATTTATAGGTTCATTATGGGACCCATTATATTTATATCAATAACATTATTTTCCATATTTCGATAAATTAATAATACCAGTCATAAATTTCAGCTTTTGCCCAATCTAGAAATACATTTTAAATTGTTTCAGGTATCAGTTTCTGGAGCTAAGGAGCATAATTTGTTGTAGACAAGGCCGCATGCTGTAAGCCTACAAAATACTTTCATCATTGCTTTAATCCATAACAATGGGCAATCAAATTGGAACACAAACTCAAAATAAGTAAATGTTTTAAACAAAATTGTTTAAAAGTCCATTTCTAAGATGAAGGAAGTAAGTTTTTAAATGGTTCTGGCCATATGACAATTTATTCCTAAAATAGAAAAAGTAGGATCCAAAGGCCCAAACTAGGTCAAAGAGGGGCATAATTTATAATAAAATAACAGGGGTTTTAAATATCTCTATCTGTTCTTCTTTATTCAAGAAATCCAAAGATATTTGATTATTTGTTTGTCTGCTGCTACTAAAATCAAGGAGCTATCTGTTTGCTGATAAAATTTTCAACAATGCATATATAGCAGAAAATCTGAGTATTTTTTGTGTTTAAATGCACTTCAGAACAGTGTCAATCTTTTGCAGGATCCAGTGAAGAAAAAGATTAAATGGAGATTTGTGATCCATAACAAAATGTATATTTTTTTCTCTTTTATTCACTTATGGGTGCAATTAATACAATATTCTTGTGGCCAAGATGAAATATAAGGGATAATGTTGCAGCCTAGACTGAACACTGTTGAATAGTTTGGTGGCATGTTATTAACTTGCAGCTGGTAATTCAAGTCAGATTTTATAGAAACTACTCCAAACTTTGTTTTCATGTTTTATATAGTAAAGTCAGCTGATTCTATTGATCACAAAATGTAAGGCATAAAAGGTTGACATTGCAAAAGACATATTTCTCAAAATGGTAAGGGCTTTGGTGAAAAGGGATTTGGGAGTGGGTGCAGTTTTTTACTTCTGTGCCTGGAGAACAATACTTGAGTGCATGGATTCACATAAGCTGTGCAAAATCTGATTCATTTATTTGAGGTTTGGATCAGAAAAATAATAAGTAAAACAAGGCACCAATGCATCAATGCCAAGTGACTGTGATGTTGAATCCTGGATATAGCCACATTGAAATACCTCATTTTTTTCTGTCAGTATGCAGGGGTGCATAGATCCATATACTGTATTATCTGAGTTGGAAATTTGTTCTTATTGACAACTTTTACAAGCTAACATATATGTGGACAAGTACATTGTGCCTGTAACTTGAAAGGAATAAGTTTCCTGTTGTGTCTGAGTGATGTTTATCCAAGTGCCATTTGTTCTTGCCAGCAAGTAACATACAGGTGCATTGTTATTTATATAGTGTATACTGAAATTTATCTATAAGGACTGAAGTAACATACAGGTGCATTGTTATTTATATAGTGTATGCTGAAATTTATCTATAAGGACTGAAACCTGCCACAGCTTCTATGGATACAACCAAATGAAGCAGATAGTACTGGTTTAGACAATATCTTGTAATGGGTATATCAGAATAAATTTCATTTGCCAGAGGATAAGGCTTCCATGAAGAATATTTTTCTTGAACCAAATTGCTGGTCTCTTTGAAACCATTTTTAAAAACTATGAATTTACCAGGGAATTCAGCTGGATGGATTGACTTCTTAGACAGCTAGAGTCCAATGGTGAAATGTTAAATGAAAAGTAAAAAACAATGGACAAAATCTTTGCTTCATTATGCCAGAGAATACCATACAAAAGAAAATGGGAGTTCAATGATTCTTGGCTGTAGGAATTTCCTTGGCTTGAGCCCAAAGAAGACTGAACAAACGAACAAATGCATCTTGTAATACGTACAGACAAAACCAGTAGACTGTTTGCAGGACATGGTTCTTGCAATGAAAGAGATGTTATTAACATACCAAAAATGTTCAATGCACAATACAGTACATGTTTGTTAAACAAAGGTTCTCGAACAAGGCATAAAGCTAAGCAGCTTAGTAATATCAGTCTGAAGTACAACTTTGCACAAACCAGTCTGATCCTGCGCCAGTTGGTATAAACTTTCTGCAGGATGTCTTTGATAAAACTGGGAAAAGTAAGGCCAGAGCAAAAGAAAAGCCATCCAAAGCTTCTAATCAGCATTTTCTTCAAAAATCAATGTTGACTTCATTGCTTTTGACTGTTTAATTTTCTCCTTATTTTAATTACCAACATACTGACTCTACAAACCAAAACCAACAAAGTTCTAAAAAGTTTGCATAAATTTTATTGTTTTCTAATGTATGTAGTCTTATAAATTTTACAGCAAAAATAGGACAAGCTGAAATATCTAGTGTATATTTCATGCCAGTGATACAAGCATAATACAAGCATTTAAATGATGCAGCATAATAAAAATAAACATTAACCGTCATGTCTTCCATTATTCTCTTTAAATATTAAAATATAGACAAGTGGGTCTTTTATCAAGATCAGTAAAATTTTGAATTTACTTTTCCATGGACAACCTGATTTTGACAATTTCTACATCCCTATCAGTATATGTTACAAGTTAAGTTCTAAAAATGTCAAAATAAATAAATGCAACACCAAACATTCGGGAAGATAAACAGTTCCTAATAAATTTAATCATCTAATCCTACATGATGAAAGATAAAAGTATAAATGTTCAAATATGTACAGTAAATGAGAGTGGTAAAAACAATAAAATTCCTTTAAATATTGTCAAAATGTGTGATATACACTGATCTAATTTAAAAAGTCAAAGATGTTTCTGGCAATGTGTCATCATAAAGATTCTTAATTGAGTTCACACAAAAGGTCATGTGTGACAGGATGGAACATTTTTCCACAAGGTAATTACAAGAAATTTTATTTCCTGTTGGCAGTCTGAGTACACTTGTTTCTCCAATTCTCATCATACTGACTATTTCAATTCTAAATAGATACTTGCAACATCTGCAAATCGTTTATAATGATAGCTTTGTTAATTAAAAATATTTGATCTTCACTAATAACAAATTGTTTCCACAAATTTCCTTTCCTTGTAATATATAAAAATGTCATTTTATGTGAAGTTTTATCAATATCTACTCATTACACCCTAATAATAACAACAACAAAAAACCCACCCACTCACTCGTGTGATTTCCAATCAAAATTTACAAACAACTGATACAAATGGACCATTATAAGTTAAAACAAAATAATTGCACAGACCTTCCTGCACTCTACCATTCATCCCTTTTGCCTATGAAGGCATGTGGTAGGCATTACAAGCCAATTTTTGGAACTTATTGCATTTCATCTTGACAGCATATAACACCAGTGGTAAATAAAGGTCAGGGTCATATATCAAACAAGGGATTTCACTACAAATTTACACAATTTAGCCTTTGACAGATTGAAATATATAGAAAGTAATAACAATGTTGCTATAATAACTTGTGCCATACACGAGTAATTCCTTTTACCCTCTACAAGTTTACTACATCTTATGCCAAAAGCCGAACCATGTCCCGCTTGGCTGAATAAGTTCATCGACTTTATGAAGGTTTACACTGATAAAAGTCAGATGACTTACCTTGATTATATATTGTTCATTGCCAAAAACATGGTGATTAAGGGTTACTGACATTGTATGGAATGCTGCAATCATATACAACTCTATCTAATGAGTTAACTGACAATATATGTCAAAATATATACATAAAATTATGCCAGTAATCCAAATAGCTGATGACTGTAAATTAGGAAAATGTGGCATCCTCAATATGTTTATAAATTCAGGTATTTAGGATAGAGCACATATTCAGATGTCTGCACTACCTTTTCATAGAATTACGGAATATATAATTGTAATGACTCATAGTGCTTGCTGCGGCAAATACTTAATATTTAAAACATTCATTTCAAGTTTATGACAACAAATGATAATTGTTGACATCAGAATGATTAGTCAAAGTTTCAGGAATATCTCACACACTTAGCAGATTATATCGTCATGCTCTCTTTATCCTGGTGG